CATGTGACACCAGGGAACATGCTTTTTTTTTGCTGCAGAGTAGTTTTTTTTTTTTTCACCATTCTCATTTTGTCGTGTGCGTTCCGGCAGCTGTTTGCTCGTATCTCTCAGACTTACTAATAATACAGTTATGAACAAATATGACTGCCTTGTTGTTTTGGGAGCCATGCTTGAACCATGTCGCTCCCCTCTGCTGCTGAGAAGATAAATAAATAACTCTTGACACCTCCGCTGCTGTTTTTACTGATGCTCTGGATGTCACCCACAGCACGCATGCAACAAAGAGTAAACTCAAAGCGAGAGTGACACCTGCCCCGTCTTTCCTCTTTCTCGTTGACAAAATGTTTAGTTTTATTGATGAGTTTGTCAAAGCACAATTTTGATGTTTTTTTTTTTTTTTGTAAATACAGAAATAATGTTTAAGAAAAGTCAATGTCAATTTATTTATATAGCACATAAAAACAACAAAAGCTGACCAAAGTGCTTTACAGTTAAGACAGATTAAAAATTAAAAAAGAGTAAAAATGCATCTAGTGCCACTCAAAAACATAAGTTGACAGTAAAAACAACACACAACAACAATAAAATCAGCTCAACTTGTTCTCAGACTCTGCATGGATGAAATGCCAAGGAATACAGATGAGTCTTGAGCAAAGATTTAAAAGTCTCAACAGTCTGAGCGGTCTTTAAATTCTCAGGTAAACTGTTCCACAGTTTTGGAGCAGCAACCGCAAAAGCCCAGTCACCTATGGATTTAAGTTTGGATCTGGGGACATCTAAGAGGAACTGGTTGGTAGACCGGAGTGCTCTTACTGGAGTGTAGATGTTAATGAGATCACATAAATATGACGGGGCCAGATCTTTTAAGACTTTAAAAACAAGCAATAAAATCTTAAAATCAATCCGGAAGTGGACATGAAGCCAGTGGAGAGAAGCCAGGACAGGGGTTATGCATTCATGATTTTTAGTTGCTGTTAAAAGACGAGCTGCTGCATTCTGGACAGATTGTAAACGATGCAAAGATGATTTGTCTAAACCAACATACAATGAATTACAGTAGTTCAAACGAGATGTAATAAAAGCGTGAATCACCTTTTCAAGGTCTTTGAAAGGGAGACAAGACTTCACCTTGGCAATGAGTCTTAGCTGGAAGAAACTGGATTTCACAACTGTATTTATCTGTTTGTCTAATTTAAAAGCACTATCAAAAATAACTCCCAGATTCCTGACATTGGAGTGGCTGTATAAAGCCAAGGGGCCAAGCACATTAAGGGTATTACATTTACCAAAGCTGATGACTTCCGTTTTATTTTAATTTAGATTCAGAAAATTTAGTTTTAACCAGACTTTAACGTCGTTTAGACAGTTCAAGAGTGGATCCAGTGAAGTGACCCTGTCTGACTCAATCGGAAGATATAACTGAGTATCATCAGCAAAGCAGTGAAAAGGGATGTTGTGTTTTCTAAAAATGGACCCCAAAGGCAACATGTAAAGATTAAAAAGCAATGGACCTAAAAATAAACCCTTGAGGGACCCCACAGATCAGAGGAGCTGGAGATGAAGAACATTTCCCTAAATGAACAGAAAAACTCCAGTCAGTCAGGTAGGATCTAAACCAGGATAAAACTGTGCCTTTGATACCGACTACCTGCTCCAGCTGTGACAACAAGATGTTGTGGTCCACAGTATCAAAGGCAGCAGAAAGGTCTAAAAGCACTAAAACAGCAGAGCTTCTTGCATCAACAGTTAAAAGAAGGTAATTAAAAACTCTTAAAAGGGCTGTCTCTGTGCTATGGCCTGATTTAAAACCTGACTGGAATTTTTCACCAATGCTGTTGGCAGTTAAAAACCTCTTAAGTTGATTAAAAACAACTTTCTCCAAAATTTTCAACAGAAAAGGTAGTTTAGAAATAGGTCTGTAATTTAAGAGTAGTGTTGTGTCGAGGTTTTTCTTCTTTATGAGAGGCTGCACCACAGCATGTTTAAAAGTAGCTGGAACACAGCCTGATGACAGGGACATGTTAATTAGGATAAGAACTAATGGACCAAGAGTGTTAAAAACTTCTTTAAACAGGCAAGAAGGAACACAGTCCAGAGGTGAATTAGAAGGCTGCATGTGGTCCACGATGTCCTTTAAAACAACTAAAGTCACCGGCTCAAACTGTTCAAAGGAGGCTGCGGATGGAGAAAGTGAGGAGGGGTCTATGTAAAGTTGTATTGAGGAGGGTCTCAGAGCAGAGATTTTATCTATAAAAAACTTAGAAAACTGTTCACACAGTGCAGGAGATTCAGCAACATGACCAGCATCACAAGGATTCACAACAAAGTTAAAAACATTAAAAAGAACCCGAGGTCTGTGACTGTTGTTTGAAACTATGTTAGATAAAAAAGCAGTCTTAGCAGCTTTAACAGCTCTCTGATAATTTGACATGCTGTCTTTAAAGATGTCCAGGGAAACCTGCAGTCTGTCTTTACTCATTTCCTTTCTGCTCGTCTGCACTGGCATCTGAGCGCGCGGGTGGATTCGCACAGCCACAGCTGACATGACTTCCTCTTTTTGGTTTTTAAAGGAGCAACAGAGTTCAGAATGTCAGTGCACACATAACTAAAAAGATCAGTAAGCTTGTCCACGTTGGACACAGAGCAGAACTGAGGGTTGCAGGAGACAGAGTCATTAAAGCCAGCGGAGAAGCGCAGTTTGAATTAATTGCGCGTGCAGAACGCACAGATGGTCCAGCCCATTCCTTCCTGCCAGAGACCACCACAGTGAACAGAACCGGTAGATGGTCTGATAAAAGAGCTCCACAGATTTCCACAGATGACACATTTATCCCATAAGACAGGACCAGATCCAGTGTGTGTCCTTTTTCATGAGTTGAACCTGTGACGGACTGCGTGAGATTAAAAGAGTCAATAATGTTCATAAAATCTCTGAGCAGAGGTCCAGCCTCACAGCACACGTGCAAATTAAAATCGCCAATTATTAAAAAGCTGTCATATCATAGCATAAGTCCCGTCATAAAATCAGTAAAATCTTTAATAAAATCTTTGTTGTGTTTCGGTGGCCGGTAGATTGTAGCGCAGAGTAAAAGAGGAGAGAAGTTTATCTCCACCATCTGAAGTTCAACACTCTGATAAAAATGAGTGGGGATCAGCCGACATTTAAAACTGGATTTAAAAACAGAGGCTAATCCACCTCCTTTACCGGTGGTCCGAGGAGAGCTAAAGAAAGCGCAGTCAGGAGGGAGAAGTTCAGAAAAAGGAGCCGACTCACCAACATGAAGCCAAGTTTCTATCAAGAACATAAAATCCAGTGTTAGGACTCTATTCTTTGCTAACAAAATATATTCACCTCCTCAGTTAAGCCTGTTTTTCTGATGCTCTGGACACTTGTCACCCACAGCAAGCATGCAACAAAGCGTAAACTCAAAGCGAGAGTGACACCTGCCTCCTTTTTCCCATTGACAAAATGTTTTAGTTTTATCGATGAGTGTGCTCATTGATCCTGACTTCCTCATTTTGATTTTTAAAAAGCATAACAGAAAATAATTGAGAAGCACTGAGTTAACCTAACCTTAATGTTTTTAGACTGTGGGAGGCAGCCAGGGTATTTGCATTAAGCCAACACATGCACAAGGTGAATATGTGAACTCCACATGGAAAGAGCTCAGCTGAGATTTGAGCCTGTGGCTTTCTGTCAGAGGGAAACAGAACTAATTAAATCCATCAAGCAACTTGTTTGGTGATTTTCTCTCAGTCGAAGGATCTCTCAAACACTCAGGAGTTTAAAGATGTGTGTTTTGTTCCAAATCATCCATCCATCCATCCATTATCTTTACCCGTTTATTCCATTTTGGGTCACGGGGGTCGCTGGTGCCCATGTCCAGCAATCACTGTGCGAGGGGCGGGGTACACCCTGGACGGGTCACAAGTCCATCACAGGGCCACATAGAGACAAACGAGACAAACAACCATTCACTCTCTCACACCTAGGGACAATTTAAAGTTACCAATCAGCCTAACATGCATATTTTTGGTCTGTGGGAGGAAACCGGAGCACCCGGAGAAAACCAATGCATGCACGGAGAGAACATGCAAACTCCACCCAGAAAGGCCCCTGGACTGGGGTTTGAACCAAGGACCTTCTCGCTGAGAAGCAGCAGCTCTACCAGTTGCGCCACCGTGCTGCCCTGTTCCAAACCACTCATCATTATTATTAATATTATTACTACCTCGTTATTTTCCTTGTGCCTTTGTTTTAGCCTTTAGTGCTACAGTCTATCTTAAAGGAAGGACTGAATTTATGTTCACAAATCATTTGATGCTGACTAAACAATTATTTTTGTTGCAGTTGGATAAAATAGAGAGAAAAATAAATACATTCCAGTTCAGCTCAAAGTCAAGATCATGCCGTATAGAATTAAGAAAGCTTCTTGGATGGAAAGTGAAACGTCTTTAACGGAATAATACAAGTCTAACTGTGTTGATTGAAAATCAACACCAGCATACAATTCATCCGAGTGCATTTTATTTTCATTGTCTGTTTTGTTTCAGCAACGTCAGAGCTTGTGGATGTTCATGTGTTAAATAACAGAACATTACTGTATTCTGGTACTTTTCACAGTATGTGTTGTAAAAAGTTCAACAAACAGCATACGAGAGCTCTCCTAAATGTTTCATCTAAATTTGATTTAAAAAAAGGACCAAAGTTTACTCCAATATACTGTAAGTGTAATAAAAGCAGACACCTGTGTGTTCTGGTCTGAACAATCCTCACAGGTAATTTAAATTAGTTTTCATAAATATGTATTTTTTACACTCCCTGACATGACCTATTTATTCATGCTAACGTGTGATTAATGCTGGAGGGACAAAGCAGAGCTGCAAAACAAAACTTTGAGGAATAAGAACAAATATTTCTCCACCTCTGTTAGTATGTTCTGAATTGTCTTTGAACTTTAAATGAGGCTGTATGTTATTAATGGGATCTGTTGTTGCAGAAATTTATCGCAGTCAGAAAAGAAGATGCAGGCGAGTATTTCTGCCGAGCAAAGAACGACGCAGGCCATGCTGAGTGTGCAGCCCAGAAGATGGAAGTCTGTAAGTGTTGAGTAAATCCAGGAGTAAAATGTTTCCTGTGTCAATGTTGAATGTCTCTCCTCTGATTTGCCCTACATAGATGATATAGACATGGTGGGGATCGTACTAGGGGTGCTGGTGGTGCTTATAGTCCTCCTCTGTATAACAGTGGGGATCAGTTGTGCATACAAGCAAGGTTATTTCTGCAGCCAAAAACAGACAGGAAACAAGTAAGACACTGGAAGCAGATCACCAGATACATTGATGGTCAGAAAATCGCTGTTGTAATGCTCTGCTTTGTGTTTGTTAGCTACAAAGTTCCAGCTAAAGGAGATGGAGTGGACTACGTCAGGACGGAGGATGAGGTGTGTACATCATGATTACAGCCAAAGGACAAACAGCCTGACACATCTGGATCTTGATAGAGCTCTCAAATAAATCTAAACATTGAGACCAGAACCAGAAAACTGAACTGACACCTGACAAGTCAAATATGGGACAATTATTACAGAGTTACCATAGAACATGAACAGTCTTGATCATTTTTTATAGTGCAAAATAAAGAAAATGTCATTAAAGTTTTTGTCAAGACAAAAAAATTACACTGTTCCATTAGATATTTAACAGGAACTAAATCCATCCTGTCATCCATCAACAGTAACCCTCAGTCATTCAGCAGCTTGTAGAATGTTCTTCAGCAGCAGAAACCCTCATTCATTCAGCAGCTTGTAGATCATTCTTCAGCTGCATTATCCCTCAGTCATTCAGCAACTTGTAGATTGTCCTTCAGCAGCAGTAACTCTCAGTCATTCAGCAAATTGTAGATTGTCCTTCAGAAACAGTAACCCTCTTGTCATTCATCAACTTTTAGATTGTCCTTCAGCAGCAGTAACCCTCAGTATTTCAGCAGCTTGTAGATCATTCTTCAGCTGCATTATCCCTCAGTCATTCAGCAATTTGT